TACCGGCGCGCGTTTTCCAATCGGATCGAGCGAATAAATTAAATTCTAGTTTATTTTGTCGAGCGACCGGTTAATGAAATTGAAATAAACGCTCGCGGCCGACGCGCGCGAGGAACGACGGTGCCAGCCGCTAGCCGGCGGCCGTGCCGTTCATTCGGAACATCGGAATTCCGCGAATGACGTATTTATGGATTCCTCCTTGTTGCTTTTGTTTGGCTCACCGTGGGCGGGAATAGTTCTTAAATAAATACCACGGTTGTTTCTCATCGTTCGAGAAATTCATGCGGAGACACGCTGAAAATTTCGGCTCGACGTCTCCGTCGCGTTTAAATGGAATCCTCTTATACCGCTTGGATATTTCAATCCTGATGTTTGTTTCATCTGAAAAGAAAACATCGGTTATCGGACTCCTGTTATACCACATAAATCGTATTAATCTACCGCCCGCGGTATAAACAATTCCAGTACGCTAAAGAACATTGTCTACAGGGAGGAACGTTCGTCGAGCATCGGTTCCGAATAACTCAGCGGCGAGGCCGTCGGACATTTTGTCGCGCGTAATAAGTAGAAACAGTGAACGGTCGCCAGACAAATTGCCGAGGTCCATTCAGCGCGGCTCGCGGCGAAATTCAAACGAAATTCCTGCGAGAGTATCGCAACAAAAATTCCATTCCACCGTTCCCATTTATTTCCGTATCCGGATTCAGCTTTTTCGTACTACCAATTTAACCGGACAATGCGCGCCGCGATTGACTTACACGTCCATTGTCCCGTCGAATGGGTCGTCGCGGCGAATCAATTCGCGAAATATTAACGCGACAATTACGGCCGATGCGCCTCGAACGAACCTCGAACGTCGACGAGCACCCGGCCTTATCACGTCCTCCGTATCAATAGCGCAGCTTTCCTTCGCGCTTTCCGCGCATCCATTTGTCCCGCTCGCAATTACGTGCGCCGCAATAACGAATATTGCTGCGGGAGGTAATATTCGAACGCCCCGCAGTCCGGCGGGGCTTCCTCCGGCGAGGGACGCGCGAGAAAGAGTCGTCATCACGCCCCGAGACTGCACACTTGCCGCGTTTCCTGATAACGGTGCACGGCCACCGACGGAAACGGTTTTTCCTTATGCACCGGCTCGAGGACAGTGGCTTTAAGAACCCGTCCTCCTGTATTCTTCTCTCTGCAAACCATTCCTTTTCCTCTCGGAAGCTTGCCCTGTCTTTCTCCCGGTCTCTCGCTTTTTCTCCTCCCTTCTGTGAAGCTCGCTCTCTCTCTCTCTTTCTTTTCCTTTCTGAAGCTTTCTCACCCTTTTTTCCTCGGAATCATTTCTCTCTTTCTTTCGGAAGCTTTCCTTATCTTTCTGTCCCTTCCTCGTTTTTTCCCGTTCCGTCTATGAAGCTTGCACTCTCTTTCAAAGGATCTTCTTGCTCCCTCTTGTCCCCGGAATCATTTCTTTCCTTCGTAAGCTTCCCGTGTCCTCTGCTCTCCTCGCATTTTTTCTTTCTGCGGAGCTTGCTTTCTCTTTCAGCTTTCCCTCCTTTCAGTTGGAATCATTCCTCCCTTCTCTCGAGAGCTCCGTCTATTTATCTGTATTTTTCAGGAATCCCCCGTTTCTCTCCTTGGATCCTCCTATCTATCGCTCTCCCTTCTAATCGGTAGATTTCTTTCCTCTCGGAAGCTTCTCAGTCCTCTCCATACACTTTCCCTCAATTTCTCTTTTACTCGCACGTTCCCTCCGCTCTCTATTGGTATTTTCCCCTCTTCCCTCTGTTTCATCCCTGTCCCCCTCTCGCTCCCTGTCAACGATTCAAGTGTTTACATTTTCATCCCTATTTGCGGAAGCCCCACGTGTCACGGTAAACGGCCCACCCTCGTCATCCCTACGTCTCTGTCCGTCACGGCCCGAGCCCCGACAACCACTCTCTTATCTGGATTTTATTAAGCAGACGGTCGATCAATAGCTAAAAAGGTTAGGGGCCGCACGGGGGGAGGACGAGGAAACCAGAGGGTGCAGCGGTGGGCCAAGAGTTCGGGAGGTAGGTTGGGGGACGATGGTTTTTATCAGAACTCGGAGGAGGGCAGAAGTTTTGTGAATTACGGGTCCTCCCTTCCCTGGCGTCGGCGATTTAAGCTCCGCCGTGTTTGTGTATTTGCATTTAGATTCCCAGTTTTTGGAAGTACCATCTTCCCTCTCCCTCTCCCTCTCTCTCTCTCTCTCTTATTCTCTCTCCCTCTTACGGATATATAGATATGTATATGCGAGCAGGGAGCTGTGTACGCGCCGCGGATACACGCCGCGGTATCCGCACGAGCGCGGCACCCTTTTCCCGGGCGCGCGGGTTCGCTATCTAATTTTGCCCCGGTTTCCCGGACCGTGTTTTTACCCGTGACATCTGACGGATACGTACGAGAGCCTTTCTCAGGTACTTTTAATATTTATGTTCCATTCCCTATCCACCGCCTTCCATCGCCCGTTCCGACCGCGGAACGGGGACGTGTAATATTTACGTTTCTTCCTCCGCGCTTGAAATTCATGGGTCGAGATTCTTCTGATCCGGCGAATGATGTATAACCGCGGGTCCCCGGGACGTTTCGATTATACCGTTTTATGCGGTGTTAAACGAGCGAACGGGACGGTTTATAATGTCGGCCGTCGACGGGAAGGAGCGTATGAATGGGATCCGCGCGGCGATCGATGCGCGTCAACGTGCCGCGAAATCGACTCGTTGATCGCCGTATGAATGCGAGCGCGGCCGGCGGGCCGGCCCGATGAAAAGTCGCAGCCGCGCCGCGCCACGGTAACGCGATTACCTGATTAATTCGAGTTAATTGGATCGGCGTCCGCGAGACGGGCCGGCCTGTCCAAGTGTTTCATATCGAATTTTCGATGTTTGCGTCCGCCGGGTCGCGTGATTGACGCGGGATGAGTTTCGGGACGAGCCAACGGACCGCGGACGGGTACCTTGTAATTCCGAATAGTAGATTCGGCTTTCATGGCTCGGGATAATTTGAAGTTATTGTCGTTCGAGCTTTCGGGGCTAAGCTGCGCCCAATAGGAAGATTTCCCCGTAGCCTCGATGCGATTGCTGTTGGTTTCATAAGACACGATACCGGCGCGCGCGTTACAAATTGATCGCTAATTGGTTTCTATCGGTAAACACACTATATCAAGCTTCTAAATTTAATTAAAACTTCCGCTGTCCTCCGTCCATTGAACCTCGCGTCGCTTATCATTCAATAAATCAGTTTCCATCCGTTGTACCTCTCTTCGCTCCCGTTTCTATCGGCAGAAATTTCTCGCCCCGGCTCTGTTTACCCTTATTTCATAACCGCTTATTCGATCGGTAACGGGCTATCGGTTGCCAAGGGTAGGTACACCTGCACAAAGGCGCCGGCACGCGGTAGCGTTAATTGTTCCGCTGATACAACCGTCGTAATTCCCTTTGGCAAGTTTCGCGCAACGGTTCTCCGTGTTCTGATCCGCGCTAATGGGATTCCATGGGAAGAAAGTTACGCCGCCGTTAAAGAGATTGAGAGTAACGTCGATATCCACCGAAGGGCGGGCAGCGCGAGGATTCCGCGGGGAAGGAAACTTTTCCACGGAGGATCGAGCTCGGACCGGATAACGCCCGGACGGTTTTCGAGTTTGTAGGGTGTAGTTTGCGGAAACGAGTTTGGGAATTAAACTCGTTGATATTCGTTGCGGTGGGAGCCGACGGGAAGCCGACGGGAAACCGACGCGGGGCGAGTATCTGTTGCGTTCGGGGTAGGAGTCGCGCGGCGTGTCGAATGAAAGGGGATAAAAGCGGGAAGGACAGCGGCGGAGGAAGAATAGATGTCACCGGTACTTCGCCGCGGCAGCCGGTGGTAGGGGCGTTGCGCTCTTGATTGGCTCCCTCGCTACCGGCACGCACTTTAGCCCCGTGTCCCTGCAACAATCGCTGTTCCCGCCCGTACGTAGCGGAATCGATTCCATCGCCGGTCGCGACGCTTCCGTCGTTTCGCAGCCATTAACCCTTTCGCTACGACCGTCTCCGCAGCGGAACGTATTACGCGATCCAGTTGTACGAGACCAGTTCGGAGCGATCCGCTCTCTCCCAGGACGCCGGAGAGCCGAAGCACACTGCCGGGGATAATTACGAGACAAGGTCCCCGCGGTAACGACCGAGGGAAATATTACTTTGCGAAGCTTTAATGAATCCCGTGTACCGAAACGGGCCGGCGAATTGTATCGCCGCCGATCTCCACGCGTTTTATTATTTCGCGCGCGGCGACGGGCTTCCCTTTTACGGAGCGAGAACCCTTGTTTCGGCTCTTTACCCGCGTTCTGGGTCGCAGCTGGCTTTTCCTCTGGTTTCGGTTCATTTCAGCTAGACTCAGTTTACCCCGGACGTAAACGAATCCGATACAATTGATTAACGTCTAATCTTCAAACCAATTCGAAGGCTGAAGAGATTCGGATATTGATCGGACCTACGATCCCAGATTCGTACTTTTAAATAGTGTGAAACAACCTCCTAATTAATTGCAACGAGGCTATCGACTGGCTAATCATGCCTTAAGAATCACGTCTATATACCTACGAACTTCTAGTTTCCTAACTCGTTTCAAAGGATTCGAGAAACGCATCTAGCAGAATATTGTTTGGTCATTACGGAAAAGAGCAGAACATACGGTACTTAACTCCCGCCGCAGGTTATAATGATCTCGCGCGAGTATCACCTGAAAATCCGTGCCGCGTATAACTGGATTACACGAGAATCGTCAGACGGCGGACGATTATAATTGAATCGAGGCACGGAAGGTTTTAAAGACCGGCCGAAGAAGAATCGAATCGCCGGCGCCGTTAATTAGCCGAACGAGGTATTAAATCAACGATCGGGAAGAATGGGATCGAGATCGTCCCCATGCGCGTCCCCGAGTTTCTCCTCGCGATCAGATAGGAATAAGAAACCGGGCGGCGAGGATTTAACGAACCCACCCGGCCGTGCTGGATTCACTCTCGACCGTCGAATCGATATCATATCGCGGTATTGTCCGTCCCCGCCGAAATAATGACAGTCACCCTTTTTTTTCTCTCTCTCTCTCTCTCTCTCCTCCCTGCCACAAAGCCGGCCCTTAATGACGCCTCATTAACGCGTAATTAGACGTCTGGGGATACCGAGGCCCCGGGCCTATCATAAATATCGTTCGCCAACGGGGGCGCGGCGAAATCTAATTTTAATCATCCGATATTGCCGCGTCGCCCTTAAAACTTTCGACACGGCGAACGGGATTACGCCGCGCCGCGTTTAATAAGCTTCTCAATTTCTGCGGGACGCCTAGACCCGGCTGCATTAGGATTTCTTTCGGGCCGCGACGCTAATTACGAAACGAAATTGCGGAAATGGACTCGGACGATCCTCGGACGGAATGGAACGTCGCCGCGGCGGCGAGCGGCGGCGTTGAATTATTTTGAATTATTCTGAATTATTTACCGTACCTCGTTCCGTTTATCTCGGACCATTAAAGGGTGGCGATGAAACGAAGTTTCGCCCGTCAGCGATAGCGGGGGAATCAATTCCGTGGATTTTCGTGCCGCTGAAGTTGCCGGGGAATGATATTATTTCAAGTTGCAGAAGTATCGAGTTATTTTGAGTCGTTTATATTTTTTTTTTCTTTGCTTCGAACGATTAAAGACGAAGCTTAACCGTTTACGGACGTACTGGGTCCGAACAAATTGCTTAATCACTCGAATAGCAAGAGATTCCTTTGTCTCTATTATTCGACACTAAAACTGCAGTTAAATTGTCTTTCCAAAAATTTCTGTATAGGGACTTCAAGAATCCATCCATTGAGACTTTAATTGATGTACAATTGTTATTGCTAAATTTCTTTAATAACAATTGTACATCAGTTAGTCTCAATGGATGGATTCTTGAAGTCTCTATAGAGAAATTTTGGAAAGACAATTTAACTGCAGTTTTAGTGTTTAATGATAGAGACAAAGGAATCTCTCGCTATTCGAGTGAGTTTATCAAAGAATCATTTATCTTTTCAACAATCGCTAAAAGAAGAAATCAGGAACGAGTCATTTTGTCTCGTAGTTTTAATGTTCAGCGTCTCATAATCTAGCTTCATCCGCTGAATGCTTTATTTACCTCAACGAGTCATCGGCCGCAAAGAGTTAAGCAATCAGCGGCACAACAGAATTCAAATTTATTTCTCTCCGCGCTCGAAACTCGGCCATAAAAGTTATAATACTATCTGATCCACTAATCCCGTTCTTCAGCCGACATTCCATACGCGTCAATCCGTACAAAACAATCCCCGACATCGTTCCATTATTCATCGGAGCCCGCAGAAGTGATTTCCGTCCATTCCCCGTCCGCGCGTAAACGATTCACTATAATACCTTATAATTCATTAATCAACGTTGGTCCCGCGTAGCCGTCGGCGCGTATCGAAACAAAAGTGGCCCGCCGGCCGCTGTTGCTCGGACAACGAGGGGAAAAAAAAGAGAGAGCGCGCGGGGGAAAAAATGCGTCATCGTCCGAGCGAAACGTATAAACAAGAACGGGGGAAAAAAACGCGGAATCGTTTCGCGTTTCGGTCGATTAAAATTCACGAGCGGCGCGGCGGGGGTGCGCGTCGGCTCGCGGACTACAGAAACGAACAATCAACGGCTGAGCCTTCGGCGTTCTTGTGTCGCGCGACGTTTCCACGGACGTTCCGAGCGGGTTACAGTGAATTCGGTCCACGGCGGAATTTCGTTTTTATTCCCGCGACCCGGGGAGGGGGAGGCTGAAGCTCCGTGCACACGAGCGTGGCGACGCCGCAATGGCGATGCTGCGAGATTTCGGAAGAATAGAGAACATCTCGCGGACCTTCCGTTGAAATATAGAGTAGGACGCTGTAATAATGCGATCAACCTCTTAGGCACGACGCGCCACTATAGTGGCTCCGTCGCTACCAATATATCATAGATCATACCCAATTGTATTACTGATTATTACAGTAAATTGTTAAAGTTAAATTATGCGTATCATGTCTTTCAGAAAAATTATAATTTAATCATGAAAAACTTCATTCCAATGCACTCGCGTAGAGAACAGCATTGTCCGTACAGAACTCTGCCGTGCAGAGAAACAGCCCCGCGCAAAATTCAGTCGTGCTTAAGAGGTTAACCCTATGCACTCGGAAGTTTCTCACTGGAAATATTTAATACTTTTTTAAGAGGCGAAGATGATATTCTCTGAAACTGACTCGAAGGGGAATCACAAGTACATTGAAGAACAAAGCTGTTTTATTCCAATGTTTCGCTATCGAGGCATTATGTAAAGTTCAACATTAAATATCAGATTTCATGGTTTTCGTGTCAAATCTAGTGGTGACTCAGAGTCACCTTCCGAGTGCAAAGGGTTACATTTCCTTTCTTGGTGCTGATCTAACTTCTACCTCTATTATAATTCCTCTACGACGGGTCTCGCGTTTATTCTTCAATAATTCCCTAACCACGTTATCGAGGACTCGACCGCAAACTCCATATTTCACTGCAATAGACCGCACGAGCGTCCATCGAAACGTTGTTACGCGCTTGCGAAGCATGATTCGACATGTTTATTACCGTGTTTTTCCTCTCCCGCCGCGACTCCCTGTTTTACGCATCCCGAAACACGCGCATGTAATTCTTTTCATCGATAAATCGTTTAGCAGACGATAATCTAATTTCCTTCGCTAAACGAAGCACCGCGCCGTTCGTCATGCGGTGAAAAGACAGGCCGATACAATTGTTCATCGCGCGTAATACGAGCGAGTGGAAGCTCGTAAAGTACTAATCGAAATCCTCTGCCAGAAAACACTCGTGCAGTCGTTATCCTTCTTTCCGGGGGACAAAGGAACTTCGTTTCGCCGTCGGTGGAAAACAATCGCAGCGACATTCTGCCGCAAATCGCTCGTGTGCACTTGTCGTGAGAGAGGCGGGCGGCCAGGGCCGCGCGCCGATCGAACGCC